GTCGCCGGTGGGGAGCGCGGCGAGGCCCTGCGCGCCGCGCTCCTGCAGGAAGGCGGCCGCGTAGAGGCGCACGCAGCGCTGCAGCCGCGCCTGCTGCGCGTGCGGAGCCACCTCGTCTCCCATGTTCAACGCTGCGATCTTCTTACTGTGGGAGAGAGAGATAGAGAGATGCAGAGAGAGATAGGGAGGGAGAGAGATGGGATATTTGGGAGGAGAGTGTAGAGAGAGAGAGAGAGGGAGAGAGAAGAGAAGAGAGGGAAGGAGAGAAGAGAAGAGAGAGAGAGAGAAAGACAGGGAGAGAGAGAGAGAAAGACAGGGAGAGAGATAGAGAGAGAAATGGTTGCATAAAATGGTGTGGATGTATCGAATGCCCATAATAAGAACACATAAGGGTATATTACCTTATCACATCGATGGTTTCGTATAGCTTTGCCAGCCTGACGTTTAGCTTCTGTGCTTCGGCCAGTTCAAATCTTGTTTCCCCGAGGCTGTACAAACGGAATCATTTCTTTTTATATCACTCGCCGAGTGAAGTAATTCTATGTTACAATTGGATTACTTACTGAGCTCACAAATAATAACGAAAATGGTGGAAATTTCTTCATTCAGAATTTCCTCCATTCACAATAGGACAGATAAGGTGCTTGCCAGCAGAGTGATTACCTGAGAGAGTTGGCCATCTCTGTGTAGACCTCCACCCCCTTCTCAACTTCATCCACCGCCACTTTCATTCTCTGCAACATTGCAAACAAAAGCACGCAGTCGATTACAGCCAACCTTTTGTGTAACTTGATAAAAATCACACAAAATTAACTGCTGAAATATGCATTTCATTTTTCTGATCTTCGTTAGTTCTCGACCGATCGTTAACCGACCGACTGCGGACAGGCTACCTCGTAGAACTGCACGATGATCGGTTTGGAAGTTCGTTGTTCGATTAGCTGGTCCCTCCGGTCGAGTAGGCGCCGACATTCCGTGCAGATACGGATGTGCTGCTCTCCCTCTGCATTCGTCATCGAATTCAGGCTGCCTGCGCATAGACAGCCGCGTACCAGAATCAAAAAACCATCGTTAGACTGAATTCCTTATCCAATGGGTTCTCTGGGCACATGGGCAGGACTATGGTCAAGTCCACAGAGTTTGATATATGTGAAAGTATTTCGACGTAAATTTATTATACATGATGCATATTAAAATACATATTAAAACTCTATTAACCCTTTCAGTGCGGAATACTTTTGCACATGTTCGCCCCTGTGTGCTGAATACTTTTTTGCAACGAAGCAAATTTCATGTATATGCGTTTAAAAAAATAATATCAAATAAACCGCTTAATATATCAGTCTAATTTTTTCAAGAATTATACTTGAGCTGTCCTTTTTTCTATTTCTGCAAAAAAAGTGTTCTTAATTTTTTTTTGTGGAAGGGGTTTGGCATTATAATATATGACTTTTTTCAAACAACTAGTCAACAACCAAATTCCGCTGTGTGAATTATTGAAATTTATTCCAATTTAAAAGTTCGTTCCACAGTAATATTAGAAGATCTCACTCTTGAATATATCATTTGATTTTAAGCAGATTTATTATAACAAGTGCCGCAGAGCGACAGTGCTCAACTGACGTGTACTGTAGCCAGGTATTCTTTTGATAAACTCACTGGCAACCGAATCAAGTGCGCCATCCTGCCACCGCATTCGCACTCAGAGAATATATCTAGGATACTACTAATACATATCTAAAATCTATGATAGGCTTTGCTATACCTACTGATAGTACAGTAATAAAGATACAGCTGTGTAACTTTAATGACTTCACTCTATTAACATGTTATCATAGATATGCGTTGAGTGCGAGCGTAGTGGTGGTGGTGGAGGAGGGTGGGGGAGGGGTGGAGGAGGATGAGGGAGGGGAAGGAGGGGAAGGGGGAGGAAAGGGGGAGGGGAAGTGCGGGTGAAGGGGCTCTAATAGCAAAAGCAGTTCAGTCCTTTGTTAACAGTCAACAAATCCATGTTTAACCCTCTTCTTTGAAGTCAAAAGGTTATCCGACACTTACTCTTCGCATGTCAGCGGAAAGTACATTTCATGGTCCTTTCAATAAAGCCATAAAAATGGTTTTTCAATCGCTCCGTCAGACCATGTCCTCAGAAAATGTCTAAAATCTGCCCTGTGCCCCATTGACCTTTGACTTGTAACCTCCAATTTCGGCACAGTGATGGCTTTTCCTACCATGATGCTATACACCGACTATCACAAGCCTAGGTCAAGCCGTTTAGATTTGTGCCGCAATTCTGCATTTCCTCCCTATACCTTAAGGCTTAAGTTAAAGAGGGAATGTTCCCCCTTCTTTTACACCTCTTGACCTTTGACCTTTGACCCCCAGCTTCGACATCCCAACTCGTTTTCGGATTACCCCCCACGTCCCGAATATCATGACCGTACGTCGAGCCGTTTAGATTTGTGCCCAACTGTTGACGGACGCATGCACGCACGGACGCACACACGGACGGACGATCATGCGATTCTACAAGCTGCATCTGACTATGTCAGATGAGCTAATAAAATACAGCCTATAATGCCGCAAATAAAGTGCAAACTTACTACAGAGTACACTCAGTACAGTATATGCTTGCTCCTCGCCCAACAGATAACTTTGAAGTGTTTACATCTCAAAGCTTCAAAAAATCTAAAAATTCTCAGAAGATGGAGCCAGTGTCGTACGATCGATTGGTGTACTTAAACATTCTGTATGCGTTTGCATTTGAATGCTACCGTGCCCTGTTGTGACTATGGCAACAACCCGGCGTCAGCCGGTTCCCGCATATCAAGTCATGCACAATGTCCCGGCCATGGCCGGGACCCGCAGTGAAAGGGTTAAACATTATTAACTCCGCCCAACGAAGTTGGAGGAGGTTATGTTTTCGCTCCATGTACGTGTGTTCGTGTGTTCGCGCGATCGATATTAGCCAGCCAGCCGGCAAGGCAGCAAGCCGCAGCGTATGGCATTGGCGGTCGATCGATATCACCCAGCGAGCCAGAGAGTCAGCAAGCCAGCGAGCGTGTACATGTGAGCAAGCAGCAGCAACGAGCGGCTGCTACGAGCGAGTGAGCAGCAAGCCAGCAAGCCAGCGTGTACATGTCAGTACGCTGGCGTATATCGTGGCTTGTTCGTGAGTCGTATGGCGTATGGCGTATGTCGCTAGCGGAGGTATGCACTCTCCGTGAGTGCACTCTGTCCAGTTATGTTATGTATTACCTGTACGGTTTAACACAGATTAGGTACATGCATCAGTACACACAATGACATTGCTATAAGCGTAATTGTACGAATAATCTTATAAATCTGAAAGACCAGATGGGTCTGTTTGACAAAAACCTGTTTCTACTGCATGTCGAACTATCACGACTATATCTATAGAGTGTATAGGTGTGATTGTACAGATATGTTCACATTACTATATTAGTAGGAAGATAGACATGGTTACCAGAGCTGCCCGTACGGGGAAGGCTGGACACTCCCAGCTGTTTGGGCTCCTCCAGAGCAAATGCTGGATTCGTTAATTTCCCTGAAATGATGAAAACCTTGAGCAATCTGTACGGTTGTTCATCGACCTTTGTTTACTACCATGGTGCTCACACTACCCTCAACCAACACACTCTGTTTAAATAACCCTGCTGAAAAACACTCTTGAAATCTCGTGAATGTAAATCGTTATTGGACATTGGGTTGGACGTACTACGAACGAAGTACACATCGACAAGAACGCTTCCCACGTTTTCAAAAGGCTTACACCGAGATTCATAAACGATATCTCATGATATTAAAACCTAGTTTCTGAAGACCAAATGAGCATTCGAAAAAAAAACCATGCTTGTACTCACTTGCATAGGCGAACGGTAGATACACGGAACATTTACTGCATATGATTCCTCCGCATAGACGACAGTGGTGTTTGCGCTTCACTAAGCTGAATCGGATTCCACATATCAGACAGTAGTGAACGTCCTGGTCGGGTACCCACGGCACAATGTCTTTCTCAGATGCTGCATGAAATCACAAGTCTAGTTAGTCGTATATATATTAAATAATAGAGTCGATCATTATTAAATAATCATGTAGTTCTCGCTCTTCCCATTACTCCATTACTCTTACCATCACATCTTGAGAAACTTATTCTTTATTATTAAAAACTGTCTCGTGTAGCTGTACTCACGATTAGTTGAGAAATTACGTTTCTCAACTCCAAAATGCCTTAAGTTAACCCGAACATAACCATACAAGATTTATGCAAATTCGATTAGGCAATTGAGGCATGTCAATGGATTTATGGGATGTCGCAAATTGTTAGATTTGACATGCATTAAAGGCCTGGGGAGAACCCTGCCATGTATTGTCATAGAGGCTAGTGCAGAAACGCATGCCCTGCATTCATTTGCTCTAAACACCAGGCTTCGCCATCTGAGAAAACCACACGGCCTAAAAAAAGGCCCCGTCATTTACTCGACGGGGCCGATTTACTCTAGATGGGGCTGGATTTTTTAAACTGATGAATTATGTAATAAAAGCATTGACATCTCAAAATTTCACGTGGCTGGAACAAAAGAACGCCGTGGACACCGGAGACGGGACTGTTTACGGGGCTTGGGCCGATCGGCCCGGAGAAACGGAGAAGCCTGAGACACGCACATGAGCTAGCGTGAGTAAAACGCACGGTAATCGCGCGTCGTACCCTTGCGCTTCGCCGTGTCGCCGGCGACGTCCGCGACGATGAGCTTGTCCAGTCGCAGCAGCAGCTTGTTCGTCTCGACGACGAAGCGGTCGACGCGCGAGTCTCTCACCTGCTTGAAGTATTCCGTGTGACTAGAGGACGCGCCTGCGCAATCGAACGTCAAGGTTAATTCGCCGGGTCGGACTCGAGAGTCTAGAAGACGGGTTATTGTTTACGTTATCGTGGTTACTGTCCCGCCTGAATCACGAGCGAAGACTGCGTTACTGTTCTCACATAAGACGGCAGTGAAAAAAATACACGGGGGCTCGGGGCGATTTAGCCCCCGAAATGCCAAAAAGAGCCCCGGAAATGCCAAAAAAAGCCCCCGTAAATTTGCATAGAGTTCAATGCAAACCAAATTTTAGAGTGCTATTTTCATGCACGCGAGCTTGAAAAGTAGCCCTCGAAAAATAAATTTTTTAATTTTTTCCCTGTAAGACGGAGTATGTAGTCTTCGTATACTGGTAAGGAAATGGAATAAAATGGGGGAATGATTACCAAATTCTTGCACTTCCCAGGCGCTTGGGTCAAAAGCGGAGGTGGCTCCACCTCTACTTCTGTCGTTCGTGCCCTCGTCGGATGAGGCGCTATCAATGCTCGGATCTTTCAAGATTTTCTTCTTTGCTTTGCCAAGCAGTTCTGTAATGTATTGCGAGCCAGTGATTTGAGATTAAAAAGGTTGCTATAATCTTACTGATGCAGCATGCTGCTGTCATTATGTGAACGAGGCCTTCACTCAACACTTTAGGATACTAACAACTAGTAAGGTCACTAAAAATGTGTAGATCCATACACCGTGACAACCAATACCTTTGAGATGGCGAAATGCTGCGCCGTCTTCCTCTGTGTTGTGGGCAACCTCAAAATGTGTCTGAAGCTGCTCAAATGTCACAAGATCTTTCATGCAGACAGGACAAAGGAATCCTTCTCTGACTTCTACATAGTCTGTCATGTTGCTATTGTACGAGTTCTCCAATGGCATCAGTGGATGCACAAACTGTAGAAAGTAAAAAACAAATAATTACTCACTGTACACATTTAATATACTGCAGACAAGATAGTAAGATCTTTAAGTAGGTTACATACCCTATAAAGGCGAAAAAGCAAGGATATAATGAAATAAAGACCAAGTAACAAATAAGAAAGGTATCATTCATGTGTCAGGGGTAAGAAATCGGTAGAGAAATGACCGAGTTAAAGAAGCTGTGTCCTGGATTGCATCACTCTGTGTCCCGCTCCATTAACCTTTGACCTGGTTGCGTAATTTGATTAAAAATTTCGACGAGTCAGAGCACATACCATTATTACCACATAATACATTGACATTCTTTGCGCAAGCAGGGCGTTTTACTAGTATTTTTCCCGCATCACATACAATCGACTACAAGTTACAACTACCCTATCCGTAGGTGGGGCAGCATGCCAAGTTGTAAATGTGGGCATACCTCATATCACGTGAAGTTTTTACCTAGTTGCTAGTAGACCAATAAATTGTACCCTAAAATTTTTTATATTCTGATGTTATTTTAGGGCCCAATACCCTTCCATAAACAAAACCTGTGAATTTTGTCGTGCAAAATGCACGACAACCTTTTCACTATTTACGGCCGTGTGACATAGAAAATCAAAGAAATACCTAAAGCCGTCGCTTTATTAACATCTTACCTACATTACAAAACACTTGTCATGCAGTATTCTCCTCTTTAATCACGTTTATTTTATTAAAACATCACGACATCAAAATCTCGCAAACTTCGCTACAAACAAAACTGCCAATCTTGCACTGAACCGCACCGGACAGCAATGATTTAATTGGCCGGTGAAAAATGTTTGTAACGATGTAACGTTATGCAAACATCGAACGGGAGCTGCTGGCAGCAGTAATTGCAGTGGAAAGATTCCACACCTTCCTCTATGGCCGCCACTTCAAAATAGAGTCGGACCACAAGCCATTAGAGATGATTTCTCTGAAAAACTTGGCGTCGGCACCTCCACGATTACAGCGAATGTTGATGCGCTTACAAGGGTA